ACTCAATCGATATGAACAACACTGTGGTTATCGAAAAACTGTAAACTTTTACGTAGACTGCGACGAGTCCGCGACTGCCAAGTGCGAATACCGAAGTACGAGTCTGGTACTGTCTTGCTCGCGACGAGTCGCGTCCGCGACTCTCTAATGCGTTTCCGCCTTTATGGAATTGTCTAAGCAGCAATTTTAAGACGCTGAGGTTACATGGAAGATACATTGTTTTCGTCATTAAAAGGCAGTAATGGGTTTAGTATATTTTATTTGGTTTATAAACTTTTTGCAGTAAAATTTGTAGCTTATCCCTATATTTCGCAGTTTTTCGATCACCACCTCTGCGTTCAATCGGTACTTGTGCTGTTTCATTTAATCGTTTTAGCACATAGAAAAGCCTGTATTTTGTTATCCCTAGCACGTGGAAAAAAAGCTGCTTGGCACACTGGAACTTTCTCTTTTGATAAAATATTACGGATGAAACATTTTACCTGGTGCTTCTTTGGAGAATATTTTTCATTTTTCAGCTGACAGACAGTACGATTCACAGTGCAGTATTTCAAAATAAATGTATAGTGAGTCGCTCTATAATAAAAAACAGATGATAAAAAAAACTCAACAGATGACGTCTCTATCTCAAACAAGCAAAAGTGGAGATTGTCTCTTTGGATTTTATACGCCTCAACTATGGACACGCAAGATTATTTCATTTATCATTTTATATTTACTAATAGGACGCAACTTAAATGATTTCTGACGATGAAATTTATTTGAAACTTTTGGAACGAAACTTTTTACTGTTTATGATTAGAAAATATGGCTTTAATATTATTTTTACTGGTATTATTGTTTTAATTCCATAATGTCCACTGTTTTAGAGAAATACGCAATTAAACAGTTTAAATTAGAATTAAAAAAAAATTAATTTAGAACAACAAACTATAGGTACTGTATTTCGCAAGTTTGCTACTATTTTGGATTTGGATGCAGGAAGCAGTAACATTAACTCAAAATTCTATATTTTTCTAATTTGGTTGATACAGGACTTTTTGGAGATCTCCTGTAGACAACAAAGACCGCATAGTCAGAAATCAAATACTCCAGAGCAGATCTCAACTCAAACATAACCCGCTGATAGCTAGAATGCACGTGATACTCATAAAGATTGTAATTCCTAAAAATAAACCAACGTTTGATTATACCAAATTAGGAACAAGAGAAATACATCAAAAAGTCATCCAACAAGAAGAAATCTTAACATCAGTAGATGTCAACGAAAAGTGGAGCAATATTCAGACAGAAGACCTTACTAAAGGCTGCAGAAGAAAATTTAAAGCCTGAAAGACACATAAAAACAGAAATGGATGACGGATTATTCAAAAAAAGATCTTGTTGGGAGATTCATTTAAAGAAAAAAAGAGGAAAACATTTGAATAGGCCCAGAGACATTTCAGATGACGTTGTTGTGTTAATGGGGGATCCCTTGGCTAGTATACCCCATGATCAAAGTCATTACTGTAGAAACAAGAGTAATTTGCAAAATTCTGACAACACTTTGTTAAATATAGAATCATTGTATGGGTTGTTCCAGGCTTTTTTAAAGAAAAAAAAGGAAATTCTCAAGATGTCTTATAAAACTTATTATCAGTTCTTTAAAATAAGTTTTCCTATTCTGTTCGCAAACCTAAAACAGATGTTTGCGATTATTACCAAGAATGTAAGATCAAGGTAAATATCCATGATAAAGACCCATTTATGGCTTTTTTGAAATTCACAATAGGAAAGCAAATAAAAAAAAGAACTGCGCGAGATGTATATTGCTAAATCCAAAGAAGAAAATTCCTCGCATCTGGTTTTGGAGTTCGACTATTTTCAAAATTTCCCAATACCAAAGCTAAATGTCAATACAGAGGTGACCCAGAAGAAAGTTGAGATGTTACAAGCTTTTTAGATTCTTAAATGAGAAGATGTAAACTTAATTTAAATATGAAATGTTGAATGGATAGTTTAATAATGCATTAAAAATGTAATATGTAATGTATTAAAAAAAGCATTGAATTCTATAATGCTTCTTTTTTTCAAATACCAATTAATTTTAATAAAAAATCCCCTGTTCTATCTAGAAAGGGCTCATAACCGCTTTTTGTATTTCCTTATTTTTAAACATAAGCTTTAATTTTATCGATGTCATACTAGATGTCATACGATGTCATACTAGAAAATGACTTACTAGATAAATAGTTTTAATGCGTAGTAAGCTTCTCAATTTTTAACAGTGGTTTCACAATTTCAAAGTGGTTTTTCTCAAAACCCACTTTTGTCCTATGTGCCCTTCTCATGTAGACTGCCTCAATTTCAATACAGCTGAT